AACATTCTGTGATTCTGTGATTTTGTGAACTAAAGCAAGAGGCTCCTTGGACGCTCTTGATAAGATTTAAATTTGCAGTAAATATTGATGTATTGATTACTATAATGACTTTATGATTTTTAATTTCCCTTTACAGAGAAAACCCAAACCTCCTCCTTCTGAATCTAATGTGGATTGTTAAAAGGATATAAATGTAAATGAACATCCCCAGGGTTATGCTGGTGTAATTGAGATCATTGTTTAGCTCTTTTCTTTGGGTCATTTCTGATGGGATGCTGTAAATGATGCAGCGAGACCAGTACAACAAGCCTTACTGAGTAAAAGCTCAGGTAGGCACATGGCTGTGAAACCCTCATCCTCCTCACCAGGAGCGTGATTGCCTCCTCATGCAAACCAGCTGGTTGCACAATGTAAAACCCAATGAAGTTTTCTGGGACAAGGTCCTATAGCTGCGAGGGTTAAGAGGTGCTCGTGGCCCTGGGGCAGCAAGTGAAAAGGGTGTTGGAGGAAGGATGAGTCTTCTTCCCCCCACCCCAGTGGTTGAAGGGGAAGATCTCCAGGGATCTCCACAAGATAGTATTCTTGTGATTTGGATGACAATGATTTAGCTGTGGGGTTTTATACCCATGTATTCCCACCACACAGCTGGTAAACAATGAACCAGTTTGTTTTCTTTTTAGTCCAAAAGGAGAGAGAAAAATTTTCATAGCACGGCTATTTCTGATGTCCTCATCCCAAGGACCTGACTACAGTACTTTATGGCTTTCCTACCCTTCCATCAACCTTGGGATGTTTATTTTTCTTCAAACATAGCTGTTTGCAGCATGCTAACAAGAACTGAAGATCTTTAAACTCTGCTATTTGTTTACTGAAGACATCAAAGCCTTTTTTCCCCACAAGCCTTCTTTGAGTTGGTACAATCTGCAAACAGCCATGCAAAACCAAGGTGTGCTTTGCATGGAGCAACATAAAACCACAAAGCACCAAAGATACAGATATTTCCTTATCTGAGATTCTAAATTTAGCTCTGCTTCATCTCTCATTCTTCAGCTTCTCAAACTATTTGTTCCTAACCGAGAGCCCTGCAGTGTCAGCAGACCTTCCTCTTGCCTTCAGCTTCAAGTCTGGTGGACCTATACGACTGCAAATGTGGACAGTGGTTATGACAGCTAATCTAAAACAAATATTTTGTAACATCTATGAGCAGATGTACTTCCTTGTTTCACCCTGATGGTCGAGACGCTATGCTAATAGAAAGTGGTGCTCTGAATTTTTTGCATTAGGTCCTGTGAGTTTTTGGTTCAGAGCCAGGCTGTGGGCACTGGGCAATATGCAGTGGAAGAAATGAAAGATATTGGCAGCAAATTAACTAACCAGATCTGCTGAAAATAATGTCCTAAGAAATACTGGGGCATCCTTTTCACAGGTTTCCTAAATGTGTCAAGGCTATTTTGAGGCCAAACTCCCACTCCTTACAGCATAAACAGGACTATTCCTTGTATGGAACATAAGGCAGCACAATCATCACCGTGTATCACTGGTATTTCCAGTCATACTGAAGTCTAGCCTCACCCCAAACATGTATCCCACTGTGCAGAGCCTAGTGACAGTCTTCAGAGAGCATTAAGCATTGGCAACACATCACAGGAAGCATCTCCGTCGAGGACAACCCAAAGTCTCTCCATGGAGAAGGACCCACTAGGGTGGTACCAACAGACCCACTCCCTTAAGAGCTGTTCAGCTGGTCAGCTCTGGGATGGACAACAGGGAAGAGAAGGGGAACATGGAAGGAGGACAGGACAAGGACTGATAGGGGGTTTTTATTCCACAAGGAAGCAACTCACCCCAGGCTGCAATGGCTGAAGGTTACAGAGTGGGCAAATGCCCGAGGCTTTCCGGGAATTGGGAAGGGCGACGTGCAAGGTCAGTGAGGGTCGGTAAGGCAGATCTGCACGGACAAAGTACAGGGAACGAGAAATGCTGACCACATCTGTTGGGGAGGGATGGTGTGTTACGGGCATTTTCAGCAAAATACTGTTTAATCACTTGGCTGGGGGGGAGCGGGTAGTTTACACTGTCACAGCAGGGAAAGACAGCTTTGGAGACCTGGGAAAAGGCAGGTAGAGGAGACCCATGCAGGAGGGGCTGGGTGGCAGAGGATGTGCTGGTCAGCAGCTCTTAACCCTGGAAACACCAAGACGAGATGCAAAGGGCCAGCAAAACAAACCTTCCCCCTTTCACCAGCTGTAAACCAGGCAAGCAGTGCTGGTACAACCAGGTGCAGCCAAAAAGGCTGCAAGTCTGTGGGACACAGTGATTTTGGCCACTTGCCTTGACTTTGAGTTCTGCTGAACTTGGGTATAGCATCTGGTTAAGCAAGGCAGGGCTCAGCCTCCTGGGGTGAGGGAGAAAAGGAGCAACTGTTCCCCAGACCCTGGGACCCCTTGGTGACACAGCCAGTCCCAGCCCTCAGGTGTCTCCTTCAGAGCACTTTCAGAGTCTTGCCTTAAGAAATAAAACAAAATGGCAGAGCCTTCAAAAAAAATAAAGTTTCAAGCACATCCAGCTTTGGGAGAGACCGTAAAATTTCTTGCCAGAGAATTTAAAACAAACTGGAAACTGATCATCTACAATGTGCTTGGAGCTAAACCAGCAAGGCTGAATAATCTCTGCACTGCTTTCATCCTTCTTCAAATTTTTCTTTGTTCCATCAGCCACATGTGCTTTAAGTGTAAATTGAAGGGCCGAAGGGCTCTTAGCTGGAAAAGCAGATTGTGAAAAGGGCTTGGCCCTCGTCTTATAATTCAGCTTCAGTATTACAATTACTCTTAATAGCACTCTTATTTTGTTGTATTATTTATTCTGGCTAGAACCCTCTAGGATCCCTTGAAGACTTTTTTTTTTTTTTTCTGGTGGATTTAGCCAACATCCACTCATGGATCCAGATGTTTCTGCTTTTATCCACGGGAATTTTATGGTATGGATATGCCAAGATTGTAACTCCAGGCTCAGCCTCAAGACAAGTATTTTTCAAATTCCCCAAATCCAAAATGGAAAGTGCCATGAAAAACCTGGGCCTTGCTGCATTTAGTGTGCCAGAATGGAAATCGAACCACAGGACAATATTGCTCAAGGTTCTGGATCTGCGTTGATAGTCTCCTACATCGTACCAGAAATCCCAGCCCAGATCGTGCTGTTTTCTGCGTCCTCAGACATGGACTCTTGCCTTTAGCACATCTTCAGTTTTCTTCTTTCCATTCACCAGCCTGAAGTTAGGAGCAAAGAGACATGTGGGTCCAAGATGCTTACACTGGAAAAAAGATTACTCACCACAAGCCAGAATCGCTGCTGGTGTATTTAAATGAATGAAAATGTGTCTGTGTATGTCAGCTCCCCATCATCACCACAGATACTCTCCCAGTCAAAACTGGTTCTGAAATAAGGGCAGTGACGAAACATCCCCTGCCCTGATGGGGACCTGGTGGATAACACAAGTGTCTGCTGGGCCTTTGACAGCACTTTGGATGAACAACTAAACCCAAACTCATTCCTTGCCCAGAGTGACAAAAGCCGCATGAAGCAGACATTAAAATAACCTTAATACCCTTCCTTTCTGTGCTGCCTGTGGTTCCCTTCAGGCACTCCCATTCACAATGTCCTACGTTTCTTCCCTGCTCCCTGTTTGTCAGCAGGAGAGCCCTGATCAAAGTCACGGCAGTGGTGGTCAGTGCCAACGTAGTGGCTTGGCCAGTGTCCCCCACTGGGCACGGCTTTGTCCCTCCAAGTCCCCCAAGGTGGCACAGGACCATGAGAGTAACAAATGCAGGAGATGTGCGGAACACTTTTCGTTAGCCTTTTGGCAACAGACAGTAACCATCACCTGTGCGTGGCCATGCCCTGCACAAGAAGGATGTGATGTTATGCCCAAGTCTGCAAAAGGTGAATTTGGACATTTCCTCTGGGACTCTCCTGGCTGGCCATGAATGCACACCGGCAGGGCCTTGCTCCTTGGTCTAACCCCTTTTACGGCCACTCTGTGCCCTGGACCCAGAACAATCCCAGAGCACTCATTCCAGCCTGGCAGAGAAGAGCCCATTCACCTCCCCAGGACTCTCACATGCAGGAACTGGTTCCTGCTTGCTCTAATAGCATTAGTTCTTTACCTGCAGAGTTGTTGGATCAAAGGAAATTTAAATTATTCCTAAAAGTTCTTCCAAGGCTTCCCTTCAGCACGGAAAAGCATCTCAGCTGGCACAAAGGATGGAGCTGGCTCCATAGCAAACCCCCCCAGGGCAGGGATGCACCCAGACAAGGAAGGGCGAGAGCTGGGGAGTGGGTTCTGGGGCCTGAGCACCCACAGCTCGTGCCAACTCGAGCAGCAAATCTTCTCACCCACTTACCCCAGAGCTGAGCTCAACCACCCTGAAATCCTGCTCCATGGAGCTAAGGGCAGCGGTAGGGGGTAATACAGTGCAAGGTGCCATCAGTCAGAGTGACAAGTCTGACCAGGATGCTACGTGGTGTCACACGCAGGAGGTGGCAAGGGAGCAGCAGAGCTAATCTGGATGATGCATTCAAAGAGAAAAGCACTTTTCTTGCTAATATCGTGGATCAAATGTGCTGTGCAGGGCTAACAGAGGGTGCACATTAAATATCCCACCAGCACAGTAGTCCTGCCAGTTCCTATCACATTTTCTGTTTCATAATGAGGAACTTTGTTAGCATTCAAGTATGCAGTTTCAATTTTAAAGGCCACCAACTGTACTTATGTGCTATATGACAAACTGCATAAGTATACCTGTTCCAATTTATTCTATTATTTTTAGTAAAATATGGTTTCAGTGACTTTGTCTTCCCTGTAAAAAAAAAAATCCACATTTTTTTTAATAACTTCATGACATTCAAGCTACTAATTTTCCTTACCATCACATTCCTTTTTGGACACAGAATAAAGGAGATTGAATATAAAAAACAGGGCTTTTTTTTTTTTTTCTCTAAGTTGGAGAAATACAAAAATACTGAGCTCTTTTAGTTTAAAAGTTTTTTTAAAAAAATTCTCTCAGCAGGTCAGAAAAGTGATAAAATGCTTTTGTCTCCATTTCAGTGGGAGGCTAGTTTTGCCTTTGGCATACTGAGCATCACGGGTGCCTCAGTGCAATTTGCTGCTGCTGTTGCCTCTCTTCTCCTTGGCCCATACTGCTATCACTCGCTTGCTGGGATTGCTGGGACCTGGGTTACGCAGTCCTGCTCCCCTGTCCCTGCACCGACTTCCCAAACCTCTCCAGAGATCCACTGCATTACAAGTGGTACCACTTGCCCCTGCAAATACTGGACCTGTGCTCGAGTTTGGCCATGTTCTGTGCATCTTTGGTTTTTGTGATGACTTTTGTGAGGCTGCTCCAGTTTGGACATTCAAACATAAGCATTGGGCAGGGCAGGTGGATTGCCACCTGTAATGCCATTAACAGCAGCCAGGAGGGTGGCACAGCTGTGCAAGGACAGACAGACCCTGAATGCACTCACATCACCATCAATAGTGCCCCTGCAGCCATGTGCATCATTCCCTTAAATCACTTTATGAACCAGTAATTTGGCCCTTCATACCCATTACATCCCAGTGCCTTTTCAACTAAAGGGACACTCCTTTAGCACTCCTAGCCCGGGCCTCTGAATTTAAAGGCTGGGCAAAATTTTATGGAAAACGTACAATTTGCTTTTGGCATTACAAAAGCAGAACCTGAAGATTTGCCTTCCTGTTCTTCCTTACGACTGTGAACGCTGTGCTGCCATTAGTGCACAGAGTCACTAAACCCTGTGCGGACAGATTTGTTACCTGAGCAGCAGAAGAGGTGCAAAAAATAGCCACCAGCCAGCATGCATCGTCTCTCCTCTGGGTAGAGCCTTCGGCAGCAGCACCTCGACAGTGTGGGAGGATGGGAGGTGAGGGCAGCAAGAGGAACAGGCCTTTGGGTGACCCAGAGTGGAGCCCAAGCACCACGCTCCCAACCGGCTCCTGCATGATGCACGGCATCGATTTCCAGCCCCAACACACCTCCAGCCCACACGCCTTGGAGGGCTCATGCTGGTTCAGACATTCACTAATTTTACTGTGCTGAGGAAAATCTCACCTGTGCATCCAATCCCTGGGTTTTTTGGTTTTTTTTTCTTCCCTTTAACCTTTGTTTGGAACCAGTCTTGAATCCCCCAAAATAATGGTGTTTCCATGGCAACAGCACAGCAGTGGTGTCCTCCAGGGTATCTGAAGAAACAAAACATGCCCAGTGGGTCCTCCCGCTCCAGCAGTCCTCCCGTGGTACCACAACCCCATCCTATCCCCTCTCCCACTTGTGAGCTACTTTGGGCAGAACTTTGCCTGCTTTGGTGTTATTGTCAGTACTGGCATTTACTGAATGACAAGTCACTCTGCACAAGGGATGTACAAGCAGGTATCAGACCACAGAACCAGCTTATGGTGGGGGGAAGAAAGACCAAGAGGGTCTCCAGTCTAAAGGACCGGGCAGCTGTCGGATTTTGCAATCCCCTAAGCTTTATTAATAAAAGACTCATAATTTTCATGCCCTCCCTGGTGTTTTGCAGAGGGTATGAAATGATCCTTTGTTATTCACAGTCACTATTTGCTTACAACACACCACATTTCTCCTGCCCCCCTTCAGCAAAGCCCTTTACCCGCTGTTCCCAGCCCAGCAAAGCCTGCAAAGGGCCCACCGAGACCAACAGCATCCCCAGAAGCATCCTCCCCTCAAGCAGGGCAGGGCACCAGCCCTTTGCAGAATCAGGCCCTGCTTGCCCAGGCATTTTCTCCCCTGGAGGCACAGGCGGTACCTTGCCCAGAGACCGGCACCAGCCCAGTGCCCAATTGATCCACTACTCTCCAGACTGTTCCAAAACCCCATGCCTTCCCTGCAGCACTTCTGTCTGCCTTCAGACCAAGATTTATGGGGGTTATCCATGGATGTGATTGCAAGAAAAGTCCAAAAGCTTTTGTTGCAATGCTGCAAGCAGCACAAAAGCAGCAAGATGCTCTTGAAGGGATACAAGCAGGACGCCCAAGCACAGACAGCGAGCTCTGAAGCGGGACCCGAGGAAGCAGCGTGGATGTGTGCCAACCTGACAATGGGGTTTTCATTTAACGAGTGCAGATTTAAGTGTGGAAATCAAATATGAAACAGTTGTAGCCAGCATTGTCTGCATTCTTGGAGTGGCACTAAAATAGCAGAAAGAAAAGAACTGAGACACTGGCCCAGACATGCTCCAGCTGTCTGCAACTACCTCTTCCCTCCTCCACTGAATGTAACTATTCAGCTTGTTTTCATTTCATTATTGGATGGTTTTTTTTGCAACCTGGGAAAATAATAGAAAAGAGGAAAAAAAGAAGTCCTTAAAATGCTTTTGGGTTTATTTTTTAAGAACTACACCATTTTTTTCCTTTTTATCAAGTAAAATAGACTTTAAAAAGTACACAAGGCCTATGGTACTATTAGTTAAGCATTTGTTTCTCAAATAAGGTCCTTTATCTGAGAGGCAGCAGCATTTGTGTTGCTGTGGTTATTCATGTAAGTTGTACTCATTTAGTACTGAGCAACATGCAATTAAGTGGCCATATAAAACGCCCACAGGGTGAGCAATATCTGCCTACAGGTAACCTTAAATTTCATGCACTCACTTGCCAAATGTTTCAGCTCTAGCCATAGAAACCCTCATTTGCACGTGGGAACAGGGCAGGCTCTCTCCTCCATCCCCGTGGGCAGGCAAACAGGAGGCACTCCTTCACCAGGCACAGTGCAAACTGAGCTTTTAATCAGTTGGTTTAAAGCCTGATGCTGCAGATGGCTAGTAACAGGAGCACTTCTCAACCCACCACAGGGTCAGCCCCTCCCCAACTTCCCTTCCCTCCTCTGCCTTCCTCTCAAAAGCACAGCTCATCCATTTTTAGTGATAAAAAGAATTCCCATCCAAGATCATGGAATGATTTGGGTGGGAAGGGACCTTAAAGATCGTCGAGTTCCAACCTCCCTGCCATAGGCAGGGACACCTCCCACTAGCCCAGGTTTCTCAAAGCCTCATCCAGCCTGGCCTTGAACCCCTCCAGGGATGGGGCATCCCCAGCTTCTCTGGGCAACCTGGGCGAGTGCCTCACCACCCTCACAGTAAAAATTTCTTCCTAGTATCTAGTCTAAATCTACCCTCTTTCAGCTTGAAACCGTTACCCCTTGCCCTATTGCTACACTTCCTGACCAAGAGTGCCTCCCCAATAGAGATAAATAAGATCTGATAATAATTTATTTTCCCCTCTCTTTACACCAATTTTGCTTGACAGGGAAATGGCAGCTTGCACCTCCTGTCCCCCCCAGCTGGGGACACTCCACCCTATGAAAAAGTTAAACGTTTGCCAAACGAAGGGCCAGGATTATATAGGTTCCCACTGAGAAGCAGTGGGGATTCGCAGTTTGTGCTGGACTTCTCCAGAAAAACCTTCCCTCTGTTTTCATGCTGATACACTTCAGCACAGTAGCAAATTTTCAATGGTGCTTCAAGGGAGAAGCAGAATTCAGCGTGTTTCTTACAGTTTTATTTTTCTTCCTCTTGGGCAAAGGCATATATGCTAAACCAGAAGCTCTCTTCATATCAGTTTTGCACACTCCTGCAGTATTCCTGGCAGGAGAAGGTCAGATATGCTTTAATGTGAATTGTTTTCTCTCCAAATGTTGTCTTGTAACAACATCCCAAGCAGGTCTGTAATTCTATAATTGGATATTTTAAGCTCCAACCAAGAATCTGAAGTGCACATACAGTTAAGTGCTCACTACATGCAGGTAATTGCTCTAAGGATTTGCATGGAGAAGTTTCAACCTTATTTTTACTTTATTCCAGACAAGGGGAGAGCCCATCCTACCTCTTTGTCCAGTGTGGTCCTGCCCTGGGCCAGCCAGACCCAAGCATGGCACTCAACAGCGATACCAGAGGCATCACACACGGCAATCTCCTCCTCAAGGCGCTGAGCTGACCTTGTCAAGCAATCTGGGGACCTGAAGATGTTTCAGAGCAGGTTGGGAAATGGGAAAGAAATTTTGAAATGTTTCTTGAAATTATTTTCTTTCCATTATATGGCATTCTCATTAGATCATTTCCTTTTTCATCCTGACTTTTCAACCTTTTAGTAGCTTTTAATTTTTTTGTTTAATGAAAATTAATTCTCATACTAAAATCTAATTTTTGTTCATTAAGGATATAAGATGATGATTTTGAGCAATGAGTTTCTCCAAATCCAGAAACTCTAAACATACGGTGAACACCAAGCCTATGAGCAATTCCATTTACCTTAATATGTTTGCTTATCTCTAAGCATGTGCTTAAGTGGTTTGCTGGCAAAAGCTAGAGTGCTTATCCCTTTCCAGATGACCCTATTTAATATTTACCAGTATTAATCTGCTCAATAACTATAAACACCAGGAAAAAAACCACATTGAATTAGCTCTACACAGAACTTTTCCAAATATGATTTGACCAGGAGGGTAAAGCTGTTCCATGCTCAAGGGCTGACCCCAAAGCCACAGGAATCAGTGGAAGGGTGTGGACCAGTTATACCAGTTTGGGGATGGGATCCCCTGTGAGCAGAAACACCTTTCTGTTTTTGGCACTGTGACTCATAGGGATAAGAAAGGCTCTACGCTGACATTAAGAAAATTTATTTTATGTATTGACATCCTGTTAACCTCCAGCGCACTTAAAGGAAGCTGTTAATTTAATGGTTGCGTCAGAAATATATGGCAGAGCATCTATTGCTGAGCAACGAAGGAAATCTCCAAGCCTAACACCAGCATTAGCACCTGCACAGAAAAACATTGACTGTACAGAGCATAAATTTAAAGAATCTGTCCTTGACAAGGAGAAAATTTTCAGATGAAACCATAGTAGCTGATGCAGACTCTAGACACAAGCTTTGGTACCTGCCTCCACCATATCCTCCAGCAGCAAAGCCTCTCTAGATCCCTGTGTGTCCTTCCAGTCAGAATTGATGCAAAATGGGTGGATTAATCCTCTTCCACCACTTGGGATAAAAGGCTGCACACAAGGCCTTATCTCACCCTGTTGTAAAGTGCTCTTAGCAGCCCTCAAAAAGTAGAAAAGTTTATTTTGCTGTAAGCCTGAGCAGTGCTGTGTTTTCACTGCAATTGAATTTGACTGTAGGTGGTATCCGTTTTACGGAGACATTAAACTTACATCCTTCATATATACAAAGGTAGAAGTGGAAGGTAATGGTAAGACACTTAGCTAAAATGAGATTCTTCACTTAAAAATATGGAAAGATATAAAGGCCCTGACTCACAAAATACTTCAGCACATACCTAGCAGCAGACACGCAGGCAATTCTGTTGAACTCAGCCTGACGTAAGTGCTGTAACTAGTATTAGGATAATCAGGATTCATTACAAGTCAGATGGGATGTGAATTACACCTGTGCTGTAAAAAACATGTTTTTCATCTGTGAATACCAGTACACCACTTGAACCAATGAAGCTATAGCCTTTCCACTGCCTGCTCAGACTCTGGCTCATATTTATACCCCC